AATCTTGTATGATTTGCAAACAGCGGCGGAAAAAAAGGAATTCAATGATCCTTATAAAGAGTATATGGTGCACGTACGAAAAATAAAATACACCAATCACTTGCTACGCAATTTCAGTAAAAAAATTAACAAAGTCAGAATAAAAGGCAGATACAAAGAGCTAAGTGCTGGCGTAAAGGCTAATGCCCTCCGTCTGCGTACCAGTATAAAAAAAGGAGCAGAATATCGGTTCAAAGAAATAACAGCTTTTCATATCCGCTGAATCAGTTCCCACGAGATGCAGCCGCTCGGAGACTAAGGAATTTCGGGGATTACCGAATATGGTAATGTCTAACGTGCATCTGAATCCTCCCCCACAGATAGTTGTGTATATAAACCCCTTGGTTTCCTTACTCGGGGTATCAGAATCGTACAGTTACGTTTAGAGTTAACATCACGTCTCGTTACGCTGTCCACGGTTCTGACAGTCAGTTGCATCTCGTGAGATCGGGCTACAGTACCCTTTCGTATCAATTTTAAACCATATAGAATCCGTGAACCAGTATAAATTCTATTTCGGTCTTTATTTTCAACTGACTTACCCCCGCATCGCAAGTGCAACACCGCGCTGGATCATTTTAGGTAAATATAATTGTTCAAACCGATCAACGGTTCTCCCGTGATAAAGTGAGAGAAGTGTCAGTGATTTGCGTTTCGCGAGAGTGTTCTCTCTCTTCCAAGTGCGTCAGAGCTGCCGGCTCTGGTGGGGAGAGAGGCGATCGGCAACCAAGGAGGCTAGCGGCGAAATGTTCCCCCGTATGTGATCGCGCATGCGCTGTGACAGGCACCGAGCCGACCTGCGACGGGAGCGAGCGGACTGATCAGTCCTGTTCTGTGCGTTATTCCAAACGGGGCTCAAACTCAGCTACCTGTTAGCTCCTGCTGTTCTGCAGCCTTCTTTTTGGCCTAATCTGAATTTGTCTCGTGGTATTCCGAGGCCAATTCGGACGTCGCTCTTCCTTTTCCTCTCGTGAGTCCGGTGCTTCCGTGTTCCTTTTAGGGATTAGTCTCGTGGTATCCGAGGCCCCCGTTCGAAGGAACACCGAATTTCTTACCAAAGAATCCCGAGCACGTGTGTTCCGTCTCGGGATTTCTCCGCGTTTGGGAATTCTTTCCCGTTCTATCGAGGCTGCTTCCCGTCTCTTGTCGGCTCCCTGTAGCTCGGCTCTGATTTGTACGCGAAATTGATTTGTTAATTTACCTTATGGCCGTTTTGAGTTTTCGCTATTTTTCGCTAGTTTTTATTTTCATTGGTACTGCGTGACTGTATGCATGCCGGCGACTATGCGCTTCGCAGCTGCTTTACTTTAAATAAAAGTTGTACCCCCTTACCGGGTACTCTGTGTGGTTGTAAAAGCAATAGGTCTCGCGTGATTCTCCCGACTTCTCGACTATCCTTCTCCGGCATTCTGTGTGCCACGCCCTGCACGGCACAATAATCATTCTTTAAGCGCGACACAACATACACAAGCCACTTGTATTTTACTTGTTGGTTTAAGGATATGTCTAGTTTTATTATTAGATCAGAGTTATCTAGCTTCGTTAACCCATCATTGTATAAAGCGATTATTATTAGTTAAACGTTTCCACAATAATATAATCTTACCGCTCGGGTTATATTATATTTAATAATTGAAAGTTACGTAGTCAATTAACATATCCTGAATCCAAATACAAATTCTTACAACCCAGTGGCTCCTTGAATTCGCATCGAGTTCGTCCGTGCACCTAACTAACAAATTGATACCATATTCCATACTCTCTTTCGCACTCGCAGGCCACGCGCGCTGCACGGCCCTGGCTCGTAACAAAAACTGACGGCAGTGGTGGGATCTAACTATTTTAGAATCTTTATGTAATTTTTGGGTTTCGTGAGAAGTTGATGTTTCTCTTCTTGAATTTAGACGATATACTAGTTTTCGCTAGTTAATACACATTGTTAATTGGATTTAAATATTTTAGTTTTGTCTAGGTGAATTATAATAAATTATTAAAATGACATGTTCACAAGCAAATATTTCGTCGAACAATATTATGAACATGACATTACCGCTTGCCAATTCAATGTCACTCTTGACACAAAAGACATGCATACAGACCGTTACATCGACGATACCGACTTTCGACGGAGAAACTCCATCTTTATCGCATTTTGCACAAAGTGTGGAGGACGGGTTAACATTGATACCTGAGGGTTCGGAAGCCCATTATCTGGCAATGTTCTGACTAAACTCATAGGTCCGGCACGAAGGTGCACCTTAGAGCATGAATTGATTAAACATTTAAGAAAGAGATTTGCGCTGGGTGAAAGTTTGTCATACTTCCAAGTAGACATCGCGAGTTTACGTTCTTACATATCACTCACATATACGACCGAAATGTTTGGTAGCTTGGGCATTGGGCCCCATGATATAGCGCACAACCCCTTCCGGAGGGGGTCGATTGCTTGTGTAACATCTTTTCGTATCTGCTGAATGCACCTGCCGGTGCAATGGTACCTTATAGTTGCAATCGCTTATGTAACAGCTCTTCATATCCGCTGAATGCACTCGCCGGTGCAATGGTACCTTATAGTTGCAATCGCTTATGTAACAGCTCTTCATATCCGCTGAATGCACTCGCCGGTGCAATGGTACCTTATAGTTGCAATCGCTTATGTAACAGCTCTTCATATCCGCTGAATGCACTCGCCGGTGCAATGGTACCTTATAGTTGCAATCGCTTATGTAACAGCTCTTCATATCCGCTGAATGCACTCGCCGGTGCAATGGTACCTTATAGTTGCAATTGCTTAGTAATTAGTTGCTAATTGCGTAGTAGTATAGCTATGGGGATTCTAACCCATGGGGCAATGAGGGGAGCGTGCGGCGAGGGGAAGGTAGGGCGCGCGGGGGAGTGCGGCACGGAGAACTTTAGGCGCGGGGCCTGTGGGGAGTGGAAGAGTGGTTGCGCGCACACGAGCCGCGGAGTGGGGGATGTCAGGGGATTAGTCCAGGCCGAGCCGCCGCGGAGACCTCTCCAGACCTGGCCCGCCGTCGGAAATTTTTTAAGAGGGGGGGGAATGATCCCCGAAAACTTTTCATACCGAACCGAGGGAGGGGATGACCCCCGAAAATTTTTTTCAACACCCACAGGCATTTTTTTATTGTCTTTTCGGCGTTCTCGGTACGTTTGATGAGATCTAAAAAAAAAGAATTACATAATGTTCTCCTAAGAAAATATTTACAGCTAGCGAAAAAAAAACAACACATCATTCGGCTCGTAAATCTATTCTTTCTATTTATTATTCTAGTACTCGTATAAATTCAGATTTTTATAGTTCACTGTGGTTAGGTTTGGTCAAACTCTTGCAAAACGCGTTATAGAAAATGGTTAATATCATTACGAAACACAAGAAATAAAAAGTTTCATACTGTATACTAAATGCGAAAATTTACTCGAAAAAATGCAGTTCCTCTTTCATCCAGAGTCGAGTCGAGTCTCGCGCAACGATGCGTTTTCGCGCTTTGTCAGCGAGTACGTTATCTGCTACGTGCCTTTCGACGAAGTCGTTGCTAAGCGAATATGCAATATCGTGTTCGCGACACGCTGCGTCCAACGGATTAAAATATAAATTAAATCGACGGTCCAGCCTTAGATTTATGCGAGGAGAGAATGTGGAAGACGGGTAAATAAAATTCGAGAAATAATATATGTTTTAAATGACACTATATTGTTACATTTTTTTTATGCGAGCATCAACTACAATATCATTGATGGCACATCCTAACAGTTCGCAATCTACAAGATAATCCCTGCAGTAATATTCGCTGTCACGTATGATTTTAGCAGCACTACGCGTATCTAATGTTTCGATGACAGCATTGCTCTGTTGCAACACGTTAACAAAAGTTATAAATTTTTTCCTCACATCTTCTACAGTTTGATAGAGCCGCGGATACACATAGCTTACACATGGCTCAAGATTAAATAAAAATGCTACTGTATTCGGTTTGAAATACAGCGACTTATTATCAATTGTCATCTTTACAATCGACGAATCAAACATCCGACAAAATTCCACCGTTAATTCATTAATCTGCATCAATGATGATCCAGGCAATTGTGCACGTTCTTCGATGGTTGTACAGCAGTCGAATAGTGAGTTCCATGTATGCCATGGTATTCTAAGATGATTCCCACGATTATCACCGAGAAGAATTTCTACATCGGCTGTAGGTCCTACGCTGATTCCAATTTCCAAATATTTGCAGCCCGTGGATGTTAATGCGTATCTTCTGACCATGACACGCGATGGTTGGCGTGGCCTAAAAAGCATAATCATGAAAATTACCTTTTTTCATGAAAAAACATAAATAAATAAATAAAAAATTATGAAAGGTTACCTGTTAAATGTATTCTCCTTGCATGGAGATACACCATCATCTTGCCTGATTGGAACGTAATAGCCCACGGCACTGGTACTACACATTGTTTTTCAGAGCACTATTTGTTCCGTCGAAAATTCAGCGAAGCTACTGAGCGATTGATGGAATAGCGTCCGGAGAGACGGCTTAAATAGAGGTGCAATCCCCACCACATTTTATTCTAAAGCTACCATTTTTTCCCCCCATAATGCTTTTGTTCAATCTTAACATCGCAGCATATCGCGCGATTGCATGTAACTTGGGCCTCCAAGGATAAAAGTCTCGACACGTGTTGAATGTAATATAATATCATGGAAAGAATTATGCGATATCAGCAGAAACTGCATAGAACCATGTTGGCATGCAATGCATTTGAGGGAGGGGGAGAGACACCGAAAGAGTTAGGCAGAGATACCAAATCGCTGTGCTGGTATAAAAGCACGCTTTAAACTGCACAAGGCCTCAAATAGTTACAACGTGTTGCATTGAAAAAAAAGGATATTACATTTACATTTACATTTACATTTACATTCCATTTACATTCCATTTACAATCATGGAACAATTCGCACAAGTAGAACGCCAATTGTTGGATCAATCCGAACGATTGATTTCGCAGGAAGAGTACCTCGCGTGGGAAGAACGGTGCAACGAGTGTATCGAATCTTTGGAAGAACACAGCCGCGTGAAACGCCCGCGATTATCGATCGGTGTTCGACAATCGTTGGTTGCTCGAATCGCGCGACTCGAAGGATTGAAACATTTGGTGCGCAGACGTTTCGCGCGTGAAGGTGCCGGACATTCGAGTACGGGACTTTTGTGGCGTGAAATACACACTGCGTTCGATACTCGCGTATTAACAGGTGTCATCCTAAATTCGAATTATATCGAACCGCGCAACTTCCTCCAGGATGCAGAGACCATTGTGCTGGAGCATGTTCGGGACACTTTGAGGAAACATCGAAACCTCAAAGTGAACACGGTGTTCAACGGCGAATTTGTGGCAGGTGACAAGCATGCTTGTAAAAGCATCAACACCCAAAACTGTGAACTCTTCCACACATCCGATCTGCAGGAGTGGTACCAGCGATGCGTCGTCGAATCCACCCTGGCATCGCTGGAAGAGTTCCAGGAACGCGACAGCGGATGGGCATTGGCGAGAATCATGAATCTGACCGTCAATGTCAATAAGTATAATCCACTCCGCGCGGGGTGTCACTTCAAGTTGCCGCGAGAAATCATGCTGAAGAGGGCAACAATAAGCATACAATCCTCGGACAACGCATGTTTCGCGTGGGCAGTTGTCGCAGCTCTTCATCCAGCAACAAAATATCCTGAACGTCCAGGTTCATACCCGCAGTATACGTCGATCCTAAATCTCCAGGGCATTGAGTTCCCAATGTCTCTGGGGTATATTGGGAAGTTTGAACGGCTGAACGACATCTCCGTCAATGTCTACAGCTTCGAGGAGAAGATGAAGAAGGGGCCAACAGTCTTCCCGCTGCACCTCACCAGCCAGAAGAGGGATAGACATGTAAACTTGCTTTACACGCCGAATCAAGAGCACGGCGATGTAGGGCACTTTGCATGCATTAAGGACTTGTCCAGGCTGGTGGGCATGCAGCTGAGCAGGCACAAAGCCAAGAAATTCATCTGCGATCGGTATGTATAAAAAAAAATTTATGAAATGTTTAAAAAATGTTGAAATATATGTGAAATTAAATAAATTTTTTTTGGGGTTTACAGATGCATGCACTACTTCGGATCTACCGAGAAGTTGGAGGTGCATTCGCTGGACTGCGGGCAGATAAACAACTGCGCCATTCTGCTGCCCAGCGAAGGCGACAATCTGCTCAATTTCAGCAACCACGATAGGAAGGAGCGGCTCCCTTTCGTGGTATATGCAGATCTGGAGTGCATCATCGCAAAAACGTTGGACAACCAAACGGGTGATAATAAATTACATACATATCAACACCACAATGTACACAGCATTGCATATTATATGCATTGTTCATATGATACATCACTGTCGATGTATCGATGTCGCCGCGACACAGATTGTGTTTCATGGTTCGTCGACGAACTTAAAAATTTTGCAAACTTTGCCAAACCTATTCTTACCAGTAATGTTCCCATGCTGGATTTAACTCCCGAACAGTTGACGACATTTCGCAATGCAGCACATTGTCATATTTGCGAAGAACCATTCAAGGCTAGCGATGTACGAGTTCGCGATCATTGCCATCTGTCCGGACGGTTCAGAGGCCCAGCACATTCGGAGTGCAATTTAAATTATAAAAATGTGTTTTACATCCCCATAGTTTTCCATAATTTATCCGGCTATGATTCGCATTTCATTATCGAGGAAATAGCTACCGCTTTCGAAGGTCACATTGATGTATTACCTATAACTAAAGAAAAATATATTTCTTTCACAAAACATGTTGAAGATACGGATGAATCAGACTCGCAAAATTATATTAAATTACGATTCATCGATTCATACAAATTTCTAAATACCAGTCTCGACAAATTAGCATCTTTACTTAACACAGATCAATTAAAAATTTTGCGATCCCAATTTGGAACATTATCCACTGAAGATTTCAATTTATTGACGCGAAAGGGTGTCTTTCCATATGAATACCTTGATTGCGCGAACAAGCTGCAGGATCCATGCTTACCACCGCGCGAGTCATTCTACAGTTCGTTAACGGGCGAGACTGTATC